GAATTGATTTATTTTGTAGTTAATGTTTTTGGATGATTCCATTTTAGGTTCTTGATAGAAACTCATATGTGATGTATGTGAGTCCCGAAGCATCAGCCAGAAGCAGCTGTACCGGTTTGTTGACCATTCTTAGCCTATCGGCATCTAACAGCTTTTCGAATCGAATTATACGTTCAATTCAGCTCCTTCGCATCCACCCTCCCATTTGCAAGTTCAAGCTCCCGACGCTTCCCATGTTCGTGTGCACTGGGCGCTTCCACCCCAAAGCACCTGGGGATGCGCAGATATTCAGTATGAGATTGAGGTACTGTAAGATGGACATCATTTGATTCGCGGAACAAACTTTTATTTTTCGAATAAAATTTCAAAAATAATTAAGGTTGTTGAACCGCGCGGAGTCCAACCCGTGACTGTAGCCGGTGGCCAAACAAATCACATCTTCCCCAGTCAGCCAAACCAGCAATGGTAAGCGAAATCTCTTGACAATGGGTAATTAGCCTTCATGATGCTCTTCCAGGTCTGTTCGCATTCGAGCAATCAACTCTGCCGGTCATTCCGCTTGGACACCAACGGCGGAAGTACGGACTCCTCCTGGAGGAGAGCTCATCGTTGGGCCTAATATTGCTTATAGGTTGGTTTTTGAGGATTCATACCCATTTTAAAAAGCTACGGAATTTGATGTCGGAGCTTATTCAGGCAAGGAAATCCTATCATAACTTGGCAAGCACGAGAAAATGTTGAAGACTTGGTTGAGAGCTTTGTTATCGAATGGAAGGCAACCAATGAGAGAGATTGGAGGCAGCATAGAAATCCAGTACGCAAGTCTTTATCAATGTATTTATCTCTATGTTATTCTCTGATACTTGCAAAAATATTTCATCTGCTTTGAACCATAGCAAAAAAATTGGGAAAAGTTGAATTAATTTTTAGAAATTGATGCAAATAGTAAAAGAAATAGTTTTTTTACTCATTAAGGATTCAAGACTTTTCGCATTAGGTTTTTCCCTTCTGTCGATGGACTATAATTTTCTTCCCATCCTTTGACTGTTTTTCAAAGACTCTTTCTAGATTCCATTTTCCGGATGGCAACGACCCTACTCCATTGATCTCGGAGAACTTCCCAAAGGCCACAATTATCAGGTACTACTCTTCAAACTCTCAACAAAATTCCTTATCACAAACCTGCTTACCTAGGTCCGAGTTGTTGTTAGAGACATGAATCGTGGTACCGCATTCACCTCACCG